TACCAGAACTCTGGCCAAGCAAGCCAATCCACCCATGTTTTCGGCTTTCTTCCCGCAAAACAGCGAAGATATGCTTCAACACACCGGTTGACCACCTCTGTTTGTCCATCCGACTGTGGATGATATGCAGAGCTCTTGCATAATGATATTCCTTGCCCTTTGAACAATGAGGACCAAAATTTACTGAGTAATACCTTATCTCGATCTGAAACCATGGTTTCGGGAAAGCCATGTAACCTAACTATCTCTTTAATGAATGAGTCAGCTACAGTCTTGGCGGTGAACGAATGTTTTAGTGGGAGGAAGTAGCGTATTTGCTAAGCCGGTTCATCACTACGAGAATCACGTCATCACTATCACTACGAGATAGCCTCTAGATATCGGTAATCCTTCCACAAAGTCAAGACTAATATCCGATCAGACCTGTGTCAAAATAGGTAGTGGTAAGAGTAATCCTGCTGGAGATAATGTGGAATACTTGTTTTTCTGGCACGTTTGGCAACTCTTGATAAATTTGGTAACATCCCTCTTCATCCCCTTCCAGAATACTTCCCTGGCAAGGCACTTAAACGTCTTAAGTACTCCTTCATGGCCACTTATAGGGCTTGAATGGAACTGCATCAACAAAGTTGGAATAAAAAGAGACTTCTCGGGAATGACTTACCTCCTTCCTTGAAAAGAAGGCCATTGTCATAGTTGATGCATATGTCCCTTCTTTAACGGACTTAATTACCTGTTGAAGGCTTATGTCTGCTTCCATTTGCATCGCAAGTTCATCCTGGTCAATAGAGATTGGAGCTGTTAATCGTAATTTTCAGATTTCTTTGCTCGGAGGTCTTCGTGACAGAGCATCTGCAGCTCGGTTCTCTGTACCACGTTTATATTCGATGTTGTAATTAAGCCCCAATAGTTTAGACGCCCACCTTTGTTGCTCCGCTGAAACTGATTTCTGATCTAGTAGAAATTCCAAACTCTTTTTGTCTGTCCGGATTACGAATTTGTTGTCGGTGAGATAATGCCTCCATTTGGTGATAGCAAATACTATCGCAAGCAGCTCTCTTTCATATACAGACTTCACCTTCCCCTTTGCAGAAAAAAACCTTGTTGATGTATGCTATATGCATTTTCCCTTGAGACAAAATTGCTCATATTCCTGCACTGGAGGCATCTGTCTCTACTACAAATGGCTGATTAAAGCCAGGCAACGTAAGAACCAGGATCTTAGTCATTTCTTGCTTGAGTAGGCGAAAAGCCTTTGCTGCTTCATTACTCTACAAGAACCCATTCTTTTTTAGTAGTTTCGTGAGTGGCCGTGCTTTTCTGCCATAGTCTTTCACAAACCTCCTGTAATACCTCGCCAGCCCCAAAAATCCTCTAAGCTCAGTAATGTTTCTTGGTTCAGGCCACTTCTGCATGGCCTCTAACTTTGATGAGTCTGCAGAAACTCCTTCATCAGAAATTATGTGTCCCAAATATGCCAATTCTGACTGTCCGAAAGTGCATTTCTGCTCATTAGCATAAAACTCATGTTTCTGCAATATCTCCAACACACTCTTCAGATGCTTCAAATGAGTTTCTAAGCTTTCGGTAACACTAAGATGTTATCAAGGAAGACCAGCACGTACCTTCTCAACATTGGCTTGAAGGTCTCATTCATGACTGATTGAAAGTTAGCCGGAGTATTAGTGGGCCCAAATGGCATTACTAGAAACTCATAGTGTTCCTCGTGGGTGCAGAAGGCTGTCTTCTCCATATTGCTTTGCTTCACCCTGATTTGATAGTACTCTGATTTGAGGTCTAGCTTGGAGAAGATAGTTGCTCATTTTAATTCATCTAAGAGTTCTTCAATGACAGGTATGGGGTATCTATCAGCCTGATTAACTACTATGTAATCTACACCGAATCTCCAGCCACCATCTTTTTTTCTTACCAACATAACAGGACTGGAATATGGGCTAATACTAAAGCGAATTATCTCTGCTTCTAGCATTTCTCTAACCAATTTCTCAATCTCATTCTTCTGCATTAATGACTATCTGTAAGGTCTTATATTGATTTTTATTGTCTTGGGTTGTAAAGTGATCGCATGCTCTCTATTTCTGCTTGGACGAAGACCTTTTGGCCTCTGGAACACCCCTACATCCAACAATCAGACTAAACTTTTTCAAGCTGCTTTTGTTTCACTCCTTTGTCCCCTCCGAAAAGCTTGATAAGTTCTAGCAAGCAAGCCAACTCACCTTCTTCCCAGACCTTTTCTAGTGAGTTTAACGAAACTTGCATTCTGAGTAAAGCTGGATCTCCCAGTATAGTCATCCACTGTTCGTGCACTTTGAAACTCAGCCTATGTAGCGACCAATAAATCCTTGTTCCTCCCAACATTGTCAACCAAAGGTATCCCAACACTACATCTGTTGTTCCAAGCCCAATAAGTATAAATTCTCCTACAATTTCCACACCTTGCACGATTAAAGTAATCTATGAACATTTTTCCCTATCGGAAATGACTTTTCCATTGCCAACTGAAACTCCAAATCCTTTTGTGTCTGTTACTGGTAAACTGATTCTTTCAACCAAACTTGAAGAGATGAAAGTACTTGTAGCACCAAAGTTAATGAGAATCACCACCTCCATCTTTCTAATCTTTCCTTTTATCCTCATTGATCGTTCAGCAGTGACACCTACCATAGATTGTAAGGATAAAGTCACCAACTCTTGTGTTTCATTTACATCATTATCTCCCCTTGGATCCTATTTTTGTTCTTCCTCATCGTCATCATGTTCATCTTCCTCGTCAACTTCCAGACACTTAAACCTGTGTTGTTTTGCACCGGTGTCCAGCAAAGAATCTCTCTCCACAGTGTCGACATGGGCTGTTTACCACCCTGCAGTTATCTCCATTTCCACCACCATAACCCTTATTATCCCGCAGACTATCAAAAAATCTCCTAGCTGGTGTAAACTCATTAATCATAAGTGGCGACTGAGTTTGAGTCCTCTGTGTAGCATTAAGAGCTGGAGCTGAACTGACTCTCTCAAATGGTTTAGAGTTGTAGCTCATCTTCTCGAGTTCTTTCTCTTCAATCAACTTAGCAGTGTCTACTATGTCGTCCATCCCAATAGGCCTGTATCTCACTACTTGCTCCCTCAATGACTTTGTCATTCCCTGAAGGAAAATCTCTTCCAGCACATCATTAGGCACATGGGGAACTTCTGCAGAGAGTTTTTCGAATCGCTCTCGATATTCAGCCTTAGATCCCGTTTTGCCTGAGCCTCAACATCTGACCTATCACCGAACCACCCCGTGAAGGTCGAAAACACTTCTTGATCTTGTCCTTGAAATCTCGCTAGTCACTTAAATCTTCACGGTCTTGAGTGATGCATAGCCACGTTACCGCACAGCCCGAGAGACTAACCAAGGCTAACTCTAACTTCTCTTCCTCTGGTGTATGGTTCACGTTGAAGCATGTCTCCACTCTGAAGATCCAGTCATCAAGATTTTTTCCGTCGTAACAGGGGATTTCCAGCTTTCTTTCCAGTGAGTCATTCGTAGGGTTTGTAGACTCCGACTTATTCAACGTCTTAGAGGACTCAGGGGTCGTTGACACTTGAAGACTAAGGAGTAACCCATCTCCTCGATCCTTCTCTGACGGCGTCAACTTTTTCCCGGTGACCAAGTTAACATTGGTTAGCGGCGAAGATTCACTCATTGCGCTTCCTAACTCTCGGATCTGAGATCTTGGAATAGCTAGTGAATCTTCTGCTTAAAGGACTCCTGCAGAGACATTACGAGGTTTTCCATATCCTCGCTCATCTTATTTTGCAAATATGCCATAGCTCTCTCCTGAAAATCCATATGTTCTTCCAATGCTGAAGCTTTCTTCAAGGCAGCGTTGGCAATAGCTAGATCTGGTTTTGGAGCCATCTCGCTCTGATTCCACTGATAAATTCACACTTATCTGAGAGTCATAGAAAGAAGAGGTTTTAGGAGAATTACTTAATTGTTCGATAATCAAACCCTTGTTCGAGTCTGCAATATTTTTGATAATTAAACGACAACACCTTAAGACAACTGAGGTTATTTAAGTATTCTAGAAAGACCCCTTCTCAGAGAGAGACTTATTCTTTTTATTCACATCCTTCTTCACTTAGCCACTTTGTTTCTCTTGAACTTGCGAGCAACCCAACCAAACGTTCTGGGTTTCTTCCTCTCAAAAGCGATGGACAATGCTAACTTATCACATTTATATCCGGGATACCAGCAAAGTCTGAATCCCATATTACTCTGGCTATATTGACCCCTGAGCTTATATCCAAGCAATCACTCGAAGTTCATCAATATCCGGGCTTGAAATTCATTTATCAATATCCCTGTTTTCTTTTCATCAGACAATTTTTAAAACCAGAAATTTTTGCTCATGGATCCCAAATCCCTACTTGAAATTCATTTCTTATTTGGATCACGTAGTCTTGTGGCTGCGGCTGCAACATACGGTCAAATGGTGTTTGTTTACTTGATGCAAATGTACAGAACCTGCAATCAAACACTGCGACTAACTGCAATAATTTGCATCTAATTTTTTTTTAAAAAAATTCAGTATTGCGGTTGAAACTATTGCGACTTGACGCTGCGACTATTTGCACAGCTTCCAAACGAATAACAATCACAGCATTTGGACACAGACTGCAGCGGCAACCACATTGGCAGACACATGTCCAATGTAAAATTATTTCAAAGATGAAACAATGGAAACAACTTGAAGATATCTCCAATAGTGAAGCCAATACAAATTCTCCTGTGCCGTCGCTAGGTTATGGTCGGAAAGAGGGTCAGAAAAATAAGAAAACGAGACATTGAATACTGGTTTAGAATCACTTCTGTGGGGGAAAAACGATTTTTATTTTTATTCTGATTTATGGTTTTTTTTAACCAACTTACATTTACAATCTCAAAGAAAATGTACAAAACCCAAGTATTCGGGCCTACGGGCCCTGATCAATACGAAACGGGCCTGTGAAATCTCAAACAACACCGAAAAGTTAAGCCTTATATACACTGAAATCTCTCGGCGTCAGATTTATCACTATCGCCACCGTTGAGACCGCCGCTTAGGGCGTCTCCTCCGTTATCCCCGCAACCAAACAACCCTCATCCGCCGGAATATCTCACTTCCGATTATCCGGGTACGCTCGATTTCTAAACTATTCGATCTCGTGTATTGTCGATCTGTTTCTGGTGAATTCTTGGGAGTTTTCTTTATCGTTTTTGCCATGTCTCGATCGATCTTCTGATATTTCTGTACTAGGTTATAACGATTTGATATTCTATTTGTTTTTCGCTTAATCTTTTTACTTATAATTCACAAGATCTCGACTTTTTGCCTTTTGTATTCTCTCTGTTTCATCATTCTCATACTGTTTCGCAAATTTATCAATCGAAATTTTGTATCTGTTTCTCTCTTTCGTGCTTGGAGTTTATGTTTGTACTTCATTTTCGTTTGAGCGATGCTTCACTCGTGAGGTTGTTTGATTAAGAATGCATACGGCTACAATTATTTAGATCAAATTTATTGTCAAAGGGGAGAACTTTGGGTTAGCTAAGCTTTCAGAATTCATAAATGAAAATAGGATCACTTTGGATTAGCTAAGAGTTCAGAAATGAAACCAGGATCACTTTGTTTAAGAACCCTGTTTTTGTTCCAAGAAGCAGTAGTTAGTGGATATCTTTTCTTCTCACTAGTTTTCGGTTTCTAATCTCTGGTGTTACGTCTGTTTTATCCAAAGTCTTATTTTTTCGAAGTTCCTGACCAGGAAAATCCTGTAGCATTTGAGCCAATGCTGTCGGCGAGAACCTTGAAAGTTGTGGTTTGTTACCCGCCGATAAAGCTCCGCTGGCATATATCATCGCATTAAGATGGGTTGAGTTTGGGTAGTATGGTGTGTAGGGCAAGGTAAGCATGCTTCACTTACGGAAAGAATCATTTAGGATTGTGTTCCTTCTTTGGGTTCCAAATGTGTTTTCTTGGGCTTATCCCATCTGCATTGATAAAAGTCTCTGTTTTGATTTTTGGAGTTGAAGCATTCTTGTCTTGGATTAGTTTCTGCTTTTTGTGGTATAATCAAAGATGTGAAACCCTTAAGTTATGAGAAACATGCTGTGTTGTACAGTGCCCTTTGACTCCACCAGTTTCATTGTGGATCATGATCAAATATGTAAAACTCTTAGGCTGTGAGAAAGATGCTGTGTTGCACAACGCCCTTTGACTCTTTCGTTATGACAGAAACGTAAACTCGGTTGCTGATAGAGTGTTGATTGCTCGGGAAGAGTCTTGTAAAGTGTATTATCAATTCTGTTTCTTAATATATATGATAATCTTTTATGTTGTCAGATGGGGAGAGTTAATGCAGATGGAGTCCATTATCGGTCTGGAGAGGGCCCTTACGCTCTTAACAAAATTAAAAAGGCTATTACCAAAGAAAACCAGGAGAAGCGACATAGGAAGGCTCTGAAAGGAAAAGCTTGGAAGAGTGTGACATGCCCTGTCTGTCTTGAGATCCCTCACAACTCGGTCGTCCTCCTTTGCGAATCTTACCACAAAGGGTGCCGTCCTTACATGTGTGCCACGGGAAACCGGTTCTCGAATTGTCTTGAGCAGTACAAAAAAGCCTATGCCAAGGATGAGAAAAGCGACAAACCACCAGAGCTATTGTGCCCGCTTTGTAGGGGTCAGGTGAAAGGCTGGACTGTTGTGACAGATGCGAGGAAGTATCTGAATTCCAAGAGAAGGGCATGTATGAATGACAACTGTTCGTTTTTGGGAAGCTATAGACAGCTCAGGAAACACGTTAAGGCGGTTCACCCGAGAGCTAAACCAAGAGCCATAGACCCTGTGCTAGAGGCAAAATGGAAGAAGCTTGAAGTTGAGAGGGAGAGGAGTGATGTAATTAGCACAGTCATGTCATCAACACCTGGAGCTATGGTCTTTGGAGACTATGTGATTGAGCCGTACAACAATGATTATGATGATGACGACCTTGACTCGGATGATTCTTTGGAAGGTGGTTACTTTGATCTGGCATCACTTGGAGCATTTGACATGAGCCGTCTTCAACCGCGTTCTGCTGCAGCCATCTCGAGCAGAGGACTTCGCAATTTCGTCATGAGCAGCCACAGAATCCGTAGTAGAGGTGGGAACAGGAGGCGGCAAACGCAAGGTTGATGATTGATGTTTAAAACCAGATGATTCTACCTTCGGACTAAGATTAAGCTTTTGAGCTTTATGAAGAAGCCTTGAAGGGAAGGGCAAGTGGGAACAAAACTAAGGTTTGCCTTTTTGAGTCAGCGGTTTAAGGTTTCAGATTTGGAAGATTTGATAGGGTATTCCCTTGACCTTTGATTTTAAAGAAACGTTTCATATATGCTTTTTGGTACTATTGTTTCATTTGAAAATGTATTTTCTTTAGCTCTTCGTTTTTTTTTTTCTTCAACAATTGGATGAAGAGAGGAAAAATATAGGAAGGTTAACTCACAAAATACACACTAGTTTGAAAGAGAAAATTTAACCAATGTTTTGAAACCTGACTTGGAAAGTAAACCGAAATGTATATCGGGTTTTCGGATTTTTCTGGGTTGATCTAGATCAATTGCAGATTAATTAATTAATTTTATATAATATATATATATATTATATGATTTTAAAAATAAAGAAAATAAATTTAAAATAAAAAATAACACAAATTATTCAATAACAGTAATAAAATATAAAATTTAACTAAAATAAGTAGTAAAACTGTAAAAGTCATTTAAAAACTAAGAACTTAAAAAATCACATTAACCAATCTTCATTGTTTTTTTCGCCATTGCCATTGTTCTTATGTTCTTCAGGTGGTAGAGCGAAATCTTCATCAATTTGAAATTCTAAAAGAAAACAAATCACATAGTTTAGTCAATATATTATATATAACTAAAAGATAAATTATAAAGTTTACCATTAGAATTGTCTGGGTTTGTCTCTTCATCAGTTTTAAGATATTCTTCAGCAAGAGCCTTTTCTAATTCATCATAATCAAGTTCACCTGGTTCTTCTTCTTCTACGATCTAAAACTCCGTTTTATTAATAGACTCATAGTCAACAAGATCATACGATCTTTTTCTTTTTGTCCTGTATTACAAAACTTGTAAGAAACTTGTTAAAATTTAAGCTAGATAAAGACATATAGCTTCATATTATACTCACATATCTTGTAAACGTAAATTGTAGTGAACAAATACGAGATCGTTAAGTCGCTGATGCTCTAATCGATTCCTCTTTTTGGTATGAATCCGTCAAACACACACCAATTACGCTCACATCCAGATGAAGAAGTGGTTTGACTAAGAATCTGTATTGCTAACTTTTGCAAAGTAGGAGCATCACAACCAAAATATCTCCACCATTCATCTAAATATTATTAAAACTATATCAGAATACTATGTATACACATAATATGATAATAATCATGTCTAATATTATGAATTACCTGGCTGAGAAGTTTTGCTGCAAGTTAAAGCCATTTCTCGGGAAAAGCTGCCCTCACATTTTCTATAAACCTTAAGCTCTTGAAAGAGCTTTGTTTTGCTACTCTCTTTTTGCTTTTCAAATAGGTTCATCAAACCTCTCAAAATTTCAGGCTTCTCACAAAACGTATCTTGCGCATACATGAAAGCCGGGTTCAAATAGTATGTTGCAGCATGAAGATCCTGGCGTAACATACGATCCCATCGTCGATCAGTGATATTTGTATAAGGCTTGTAGTGAGCTTCCTTTTTCTGGAACCTCTTCTTAATGCCTAATCTTGCTCGGTACATCCCTTCATACACATATGGTAGAGAAGGCTTCTCATCAGCATCACAAATACGCAACAGACGGATGATATGCGTCATAATCTTGACAATTATCAAGCAGTCATTCCACATATGCTCATCCAAGACAGTCAATTTAACTGCCTTTGCTTTAGCTGTTTTTAAAAGCTGCTTAAACTCCAAATCTCTGCTTGTAACTAGAGCTTGTAAATCGTCTTTATGTTGATGAAGACTTTGTAAAGCAATGAAAGTTGTAGCAAAACGTGTTTCTCCAGGATGAATGATCTCTCTCCAGCCAGGTCTTTTCCTCACCCAATTTAAAGTTGACTTATGGTTGTATACAAAAATGGTTACCTTGGACATGCGTTGCACTAGATTCTCAACCACTGGTAGTTTTGATACATCTTCCAAAATCAGATTGATACAATGAGCTGCACATGGAGACCAAGCTATGGTGGGAAACTTTTCAACGAGAAGCTTTCCAGCAGCTTTATAATTGGCTGCATTATCAGTCACTAGATGAACGGCATTCTCTGGACCAATCATGCCCACAGCCTCAGCAAACAAATTGCATAAATTCTCAGCACTTGCATAGATATCAGAAGCATCAACCGACTTAATAAATGTAATTCCTCTGGGACAATAAACTAAGAAATTAAACAGTGGTGTTTGTCTTGTGTCCTTCCATCCATCTCCTATTACAGTACAACCAGTATTCGCCCAGGTACTTCTAAATTTATCAATGATCAAAGAAACTTGCACTTTAGCATCACGCAACAATCCAACACGCAAAGCATGGTATGAAGAACCTACATACCCATGACCCATGCTTGCTACCTTACTCATCATAGGCTGGAAAAACCGAGAATTCACAGCATTCATAGGAACGCAAGCGTCATAAAACCACAATGCAACAGACATGTCCACATCATGTGTTTTCTCTTTACATTGCATGCATGCCTATATAGTGGGTTGGGTCGGATCATGCACACCTCGTTTAAAGTATGCGTGAAGATCAGTACCTTGTTTCCTCTTTTGACTTGCGCGAAAATCAACTCCACTATCATCCCCGTCAACATCTTGAATTTCAGGACCCTCTAAGTTTGAATCATCAAAATGTATATTCTTCCTCTTCTTGCCCTCAATTTCTTTCAGTGCGCTCATTATCTTGAATCGCACATCTGCAGGAACCTTCGTACACGCATTTGTATCCCCTTTCACACCAGCAAGATGGTGTTTCATCCGATTAATGCCACCTCCTAATTTCTTTTTGTGGCGAAAGCCACATTCTAAAACCGATTTCCCTCTTGAATCCTTTGATTGAATCACATAGGCCCAAGCAACATCATTTTTTGCTCGGATCGAACGGTTTGCAGCTGCTATTTCTTCATAGTTTTCGTTTGATTCTGGATCCATTGCCTGTTTAAATCACAAAAAAAAAACAAATTTCACTAAGACAATCAATTTTGGAGAGACACACAAACATGAGAAAGGGATACACTTAAAATTTAGAAATAAAATCGATGATCAACTAAAACAAAAAGAAATCTTAAACAAATAAGAGAGATTAGAGAAAACGAGACATACGGTTTTGTTCCTTGATTTGGAAGACACGAAATTTATTCTCAAGTGGCTTAAGAACTGCAGAAGTTCAATGTTGATATACAAACCCTAAAAGTTAAAAGTTTTAACTTAAAACAATCGACAAAAGTCACTAAGTGACGAAACGGTTTCGTGTAAACCCTATAGTTTAATTAATTATTTACTAAAGACTAATCAGATTTGTTTTTATTTTTTTAAAAAAAATTGCTGGTTCAACCGGATCGCTAAGTCGCGGATTGATCACGGGTTTTGCTGAATTTTACCGGTTTAATAAGTTTTTTAAGACGAGAACCGGCTCGGAAGTCTGAACAGGTCCCGGTTCAACCGGGCGGTCTGAGTGTTTAACTATGCAAAGTATTTAATAGTATGGAGTCTGGACTAGTTTCTGTTTTTTTCCTAATGATATATAAGAAAACCTTCATATTTTAGTTGTTCCATAATCATCTTAAATTGACTAGCAGCAACATGTATTCATGAAATCATTAGAAAAACCAAAATTGAGTATGTGGCACATGCCACACCCCTGTTGTACCTGCATCCGCCCCTGTCTACATGTATTTATGAAATCAAAACCACATTCTCTCTATCAATACATTGAACTTAAAAATGCCAACTTCTTCGCAAATCAAACACGATGAACATCCCACCAAGAACATAATTATAGGTGCAAATGGATATTGTAACACCGCATCCCATCCATCTTTTTCCTTTTAAGACAGCGTGCTACCCATTTAGTTTTCCAACCAACTTACCAAATCTTAACTCAAAATCAACACTCTTTTATAAATAAAATTCAAAGTAATCTTACAAAATCCAAATTAAACTACAAATTCTATCTTAAGTAAATCTTAAAAAGTCAGAAAATCATTTAAATTGAAAGCTAAGTGTTTTGGTCTCCAAGATTGGACTAATGAATACTAACATCACCACCACTCAATCACTGATGCTGCTTCTGCTCACTTGCGAAAGATGAAAAAGGGACAAGGAGGGGTTGAGTAATATAAATTACCCAGGAGAATGTATACACGTGGTCCACCACACATATCACAACATAAACATGTTGCTAGCGAACAGCTAAACAAACAAGCATTCACAACTCTCTATTAATCAACAATCAACAAACAATCTTAAAAGGTATAGGTAGGTACTGCATCTACCATAATCTCAACAACCCTACAAGTGGAATTGCATCACTTTTAACTATCAGTATAGGTATGAACTGCATCTACCGTAACCCCAAACAATCCGACAAGTGGATCTGCATCACTTTCGGCTCCTAATACAATTGTGCTTTCAACACTCTACATGCAATGCAACCCACAGTTCACAAAAGCAATCAAACACCAAACAACAATCAACAATACTAACCATGGTCCTAGACCTATGTTCAGAAACAAGTAAAAGTAAATCATAGCACACAACAATCAATTACAAGTTACGCTATAAGTGCAACCTGCAGGGAAGGAAATCCGCTTATCCTTAACCAAAGACAAGCAAGGAAGATAACACAGAAGGGAAGGCATGTGTATACATCCTCACCTTAGCCTAATCGAATGAAAGGTTAATGGATTAGGGTTTAGGGATCTAACGACGAGAAGCTGCAAACTCAAGAAGGCGGCGGCTCGGAACAACGAACAGCGACGACTCCTATCCTCACCGACGGCGGTGGTCGGTGGCTCGTAAGTGGCTTCTCAGCTAGGGTTTAAGGTTTTGCTCTTTAAGTGTGACACCAAGATTACAAGATGATTTTTAACCCAAACAATATCAAAGAAACTGTGTTTTTATCAATCTAGTGAACAAGAAAACAAAACTAAAACCAAACAAATTCAAACTCTTAAGCAATTAAACTCAAACAAAGCAAGAACAAAGCAACTAATTGAAAAAGATAATCAAATAAGATAAATGGGTCTAAGGATTGGTTTATTGACTTTGGATGATCATGGGACAATCCAAGATGTTCAAAAAATCATATAACTCTTAAACAAGACTAATCCACTCTCATGACACTAATCATTTTGTTAATTATCTAATCAAAATCTAATCATTATTAGTGAAAAGATAATCAATAAACATGAAATCTCAGTTCTATAATACCAATAAACACCCTAAACATTCATTATCATGAGGCTACAAATGTAA